TTGGTTCCAGAGCAGTCAAAAGCAGGTCATCTCGAATAAAAAGCTGGTGCAATGACAACCACTTTGATTGTCATAAAAATCCACCTGTTCTCTAATGCCGTTTAGAGAGAGACATCATTTCCTTTTAAATTTTTATTTTTAATTTTAAAAAGCTCTTCACTGCCACCCCCGAACACAAGCATGTTAACCAAAACTAGTCAAGGACTCGAGGGCAGAGGGTGACTCCCAATGTATTCCCTGACTTCAATATCTTTGAAATAAAGAGAGAGAGAGAACAGGGTCTCACCATACTGAAATTGCTGGCCTCACCCTGAAACCTACCATCAACCAGACACACTGACAGAATCCTACATCAATGAAACTTGAGCTGCATTTATTGAAAAGAAGTACAAAAGGGCTACTTATTGCACTACGCACAGGTAGCAGGGTAAGCAGAAAAGCCACGAGCTCAACAAAATCACTGCACAGTACCTAGAACCAAAAAAAGTTAACATCTTTAATTACTTCTTGAATAGTCAGGACAAGACCCATTTGTCTATAGCCCCTCATTGTAGGTTGACCTTTAGTTCTAATTGCAATTCCTCACACAGAAGAAACCGAGGGCTGTGCATTGCCCTGTATTTGATGTGGCTTGTCAAATCTATTAATGACACCTTCTACAGAGTCGGTCCTACAACTTTGATCTGCAAACATACATCCGAAGCTTCTCATTTCATCTTAAGGTCTACAATCTGTTGGTACCTCTCAGACCCAGGAATTCAATGGAATACTTTCTTTAATGTATCGGTAAAAGTACACTTAATATAATTATAAAAAATACACACATAATTCCTTGGACCATTCATCTACATGGTAAAATAATTTAGTAGTAATACTTATAATTGGAAACAGCAAATAATGTGCAGGATCAGAACTAAAAAGCAGATACTTCTGAAAAAACAACCTACCAGCATTTGAAATGTTCTCCAGATGCAGATTAATAAATTTGTTTCATAGAAAAATATAGAACACTTTGGCTTTGAATAAATTGAATCAAGTTCACTCCACTGCCCAGATTTAAACAAACAGCTTAAATACGAAATCGCTACTCCAACCTGCCCTTCAAGAATTGAAAAATTCTGGAAGATAATTCATAAAGAACTATAGTCATTTTGTTAGTGCATAATTTGCCATGAGATTTGCAAATTAAGAATTTATCAATATTTGCCATACAATATAAAACGAAACCATATGGTTTGTGTCCATGCCAGTGTTTTGAAAGAGTGACACAGTTAGACACATATCCTGGGTCTATTCCCATCGTCCTGCATGTCTTTTTTCTGTTTTCCTTGTATCTAGTTCCATTTTGGATCGATTCTGCTTCCACTCCTTGGGTTGTGCATTTGAGATTGCAAAAACTTGATGTATTAAAAGGAATGCTCCTCATCTCACCCTCCCCAGTTCTTTTACCTATTAACGTAAAGGTTTTGTAGGTGCACATCTTTTACTGCGAGATGTGCAACAAGAGAATAGTGACACAGTTTCCGTTCAGAGTATTGAAGAGTAAATAAATAAGGTTCAGTAGTTGGTGGCATATATAGCAGCACAAGATGCATAGCTCTGTGTTTATAAGTAAAATGGAGTGATAAGCTTCAAATCTGTTCCCCCCATTTCTCCCCTCATGTCAACAAGGGAAAAATGTGTTAGCCAAGATACTAGGGTGTACTTCATAATTGCCGAGGAGCCCAAAAACAGAATTTTACAGTACAGAAGGAAGCCATTCGACCCATCATATCTATACTGGCTTCCAAAACAGTTACCCAGTGAGTCCCAATCTCTTGTTCCTGATTTACAGCATCCACAGTTCTTTTGGTTTTTATTCCCAATCTCCGGCTCTCTGTAATGCTCTAAATTTATTACTTTTAACCATATATTCAGCTCTCTTTTGAAGCTCCTATGGAAGCCACCTTTACCTTTTTCCCAGGCAGCACATGCCAAATTCTAACAGCTCTTTAAGTAAAAACGTTTCTCCTCATCTCAGTCCTAGCTCTCTTGCTTACAATCTTAAAATTGTGCTCCCTAGTTACTGACATACCATTTGATGGAAACAAAACATCCTTCTGTACTCTGTCAAAATTGTTCATAATTATGAACACCTCAATAATGTCACCTTTTCGACTTCTTTGCTCCAATGAGAATAAGCCCAGTTTCTGTATTATTACTTGAATCTAAAATCCCTCATTCCTGGTGTCATTCCGGTAAAATCTCCTTTGCACTCTTCCAGGGCTTTAAGATCCTTCCTTAAATAGAATGCCCAGAACTGAACACAGTACTCCAAACGTGTTCTGACGAATGATTTGCAGAGGTATAGCATCACTTATAAAGTCTAGTTATACAGCATGGAAACAGACCCTTCCGTCCAACCAGTCCATGCTGACCATAATCCCGAAACTAGCCCCAGTTGCCTGCACTTGGCCCATATCCCTCCAAACATTTCTTATTCATGTGCTTATCCAACTGTCTATTAAATGTTCTAACTGTACCCGCATACACCATTTCCTTGGAAAGTTCATTCTGCACATAAGCCATACCTCTGTAAAAAAAAAAGTTGCCCCCATGTCTTGTTTTAGAATCATTCTCCTCTCACCTTAAAAATATACCCACAGTCTAGAAATCCCCCAACTTATGGAAAAGGCACCTGCCATTTACCTTATCTATACCCTTTGTGATTTAATAAACCTCTACAAAAGTCATCCCTCAACCTCCTACACTCCTATGAAAAAAATCCTAGCCTATTCAGCCTCACCTTATAATTCAAACACTCCTTTCCTGGCAACATTCTGGTAAATCTTTTCTGAACCCTCTCCAGATTAATAATATCCTTTCTATAACAGGGTGAGCACCACTGGACACAGTATTCCAGAAGAGGCCTCATCAACATGATGTCCCAACTCCTCTACTCAAAGGTCTGAGCAACAAAGGTAAGCATGCTAAAGATCTTCTTAAATACCCTACCTACATGTGACGCAAACCTCAAAGAGTTACATACCTGAACCCTTCAGTCTCTCTGTTCGACACCACCACCCAAGGTCCAATTTTTAATTGTATGGTCCTGCCCTTGTTTGTTTCACCAAAATGCAATATCTTGCACTTATCCAAATTAAACTTCCTTGCTTTTATACTCTGTGCCTCTAATTATAAACTCTAGGGTCCTATAAGCTTTCTAAAAAACTGCTTCAACTTGCCTGGACACCTTCAGGAGAGTCATGTACGTGAACCCCGAGGTACCTCTGCTCCTGTATCCCCTCAAAGTTCTACAACTGAACGTATATTGTCTCTCTGCTCTCCTTCTACCAAAATAATTTACCTCACATTTCTCAGCGTAGAGAAAGAGAATAACATCACTGAGCCATGATTAAACATAAAAGAATAAAATTCAGCTCATTAATTCCAGCAAGGTAGCCCATCTGATTCACAAATGTCCTTTACCAATGGAAATCTGCCATCCTTCCCTGGTCTGGCCTACATTTAACTCCAGACCCATAGCAATGCAGTTGTCTCTGAAACGGCCTGGAAAGACATTCAACTGTGTCTTACTACATAAAAAGTCTAAAGAAAAGGAATGAAACTGGACAGATGACCCAACTTCAAACTCGGCACCAGAAAATACAACAGCAACCCTGGCTGTATCAACCGTGAAAAATTCTCCTCACTAACCTCAGAGGACTCGCGCCAAAAGTGACAGAAGTGTCTCACAGGCCAGTCATGCAACAGCCTGATATGGCCATACGCATTATAGACAATGTCCCAGGCAATGCCACTACCATCCCTGGTTATATCCTGTGGCATCAGCAGAGCAGACCCAACAGAGGTGGACGGATGATGATATACGGTCAAAAGAGAATTGCCCTGGAGTCCTCAACAATGAATCTGGACCCCATCCTGTTGCATGGTATCAGGTCAAACACGGACATGAAGTGTCCTGTTATTATTCCTCCCCCCACTTGGGTGATGAGTCAATATTTCTCCATGTTGAACATCACCATTAGGCCACCACTGAAGTACTGTGTCCAGTTCCAGTCACCACACTTAAGGAAGGATGGGAGGGTCCTTGAGAGGGTGCAGAGAAAATTTACCATGATGTTAGATTTTAGTTACCAGGTTAGATTGGAGAAGCTAGAGTTGTTCTCCTCGGAGGCAAAGGAAATTGTGGGAAGTTGATAGTTTTGAACACAATTATATCAAGTTGATATAAAGTTTATGGACACAAATCTGAGGTTTAAGCAAAAATATTAACCACTTGTGTGTTAGTGACATTTGAAATATTACAAAAACAAATACTGTAATTGTAAATTGTACCACTCACCCATTCGACTCTATCAGTGCCATGAGCAGGTTTGTCCATCTAAGTCTACTTCAATCTTGAGAGCTACTGCGGTCTGTGGTGGGCAGGTGTGAGTGTGCGCGTGGCCGGGGTGCAGTATTTGACCTGCTTTGTTGCTTCCCCCATTCAACCCCCAATTCAAAACTGACAGCTTACAGCAACTGCTGCAGGAAAAGATTACTCATTTCTTCAGGTGCAGCACGTTTAGAAAGACAAAGCCATTCACGGCACTAGTTGTAGACAACATGAATGAATGGTGCTATCTGCGAATTTAAATTTGTAATATGTATGTAAAAAACACAAATCTAACATACGATGCCTAACTTAAAAACAAGACGCCTCAAACAGGAAAATATTTTCCGCACATATAATCAATTCCATGCACCAATTTTCATCTGAACACCTACTACTAAATGTTGAAATGTGTCAAGTAGAACAAGACCTAACCAGAAATTACAAGTGCAGCAGCTTATTACTGTGCACCCTTTTCAATAGGGCAACGTGTTTAAAAATCAGATCGCACAGTTAGCACTTAAGTTATCACTGCTGCTCTCTACATACGACACCACGAAAAATATCAACAGAAAATGCCTACGCTTCTAATTATGAATGCATTATAAGATTCATATTTGCTTACCTGGTTGATTGCATTTGCCTGGTTGTTTCCGGATCCTCAAACATCTTGACAATTGGTTCAGTTTCTGACTGAAGCTGTTTCAACTGAGCAACAACAGTGGTGCGCTTCTCTCGCAAGGCTGCGAATTCAAATAGATCTGTTTCACACAAATGATCATGGGTGTGGGCTTATACAAGGCAACGTCTTCAAAACAGAATTTTAATTCCTCTTGAACTCTCTTTAAAGATTAGATACAAGCGATAGTTAATTGGACAAATATAGTTGTTCCTATTTTAAGACAATGTGAATGTTAATTTCCCACTTACATTAAGTTAGCAGACGAGTTCTCAACAAATATTTGCTCTAAACCTTTCTTCATCGTCTGGATTTCATGATAACAGAATATGGTAATTCCTCTTCGATCTACTCACTGATACAGTTTAGCCACAACTCATTGCATTATTGCCTCAGAGTCAGAAAGTTGTGGATTCAACTCAACGCTCAGGGATTATTGCACTCATGGTACAGTTTTTCTGAAAATGCCATTACACCAAGCTATGTCTGCCCCCTCAGGCAGATGTAAAGCATCTGACAGAAATTTTTTTAATAAAATGCCCTGGACTTCTCCCATTAAAGCAAATGCACTTAACACATCAACTGGTAATTACCACAATGCTGTGAGCAGGAGTTTGCTGTACACATTAGTTGGCGTATTTCCTACATTGCAAAGAACTACGACTTTGAAAGTATTTCATTGGTTATAAAGTGTTTTCGGGGGCCCCAATGTCATACAGTGCATAAATGCAGGACATGACAGAAATGAAAGATGCTAAAGAATTGCAAAGTAATACAGAAATGCAACTTTATCTTTCCTTCTTGCAGATATCCATGAATCGTAGTGAATGTTATGACAAAGTTATGGCGACCCAGCCATGATAATTACAGCTACTTTAAGAGAATTCTCAAAAATTGCATTTTTCCCTATCCACCTTTGTCTCAAGATTATAAATTTCCACCACCCTTCCCTGTATGGGTGCATCAAGGCTATCAAACCACACTCCTTTACGTGGATGGCTCAAGTACTTCTTGATTTTCACTGCAGCTTGGAATTTAGAAATGTTATTACTGAGCTCTGTGACAGTGTGATCAAGTCAAGTAAAGTGATAGTTTGAATCATGATTCAAACTGTTTGTAACATCTGTAAGTGCACAAAAATCTGCTCATGCTATTTACTGGTTCTGAAATAGATTTTAAAAAAACATTTAGGGCACAGGTTCTAGCACTACGATTAAACATTTTATGCAGTATATTTTTAAGCCTTTCCATCTTCAACAATGATCAAAATTAACTACAACAGCTGAAATTCAGGCTCTGATCCCTGTAAGCTATTGATTCACAGACCTGGTAACTTAAGTGATGAGAATGGCAAAAGCAACAAAATTATTACATGTTGCTTAAAGGCAGATACAGTCTACAACTAGAACTGGAATTTATTTCCATAAACCCACACAACAGAAGGGAGGACTAGGAAGGGCACAGCTCAAATCTCAACCCCCGTCAGAGAATTAAAAAGCTGGCAAATGTCCATCATGGTACAGCAACAGAAAGAAAACCAAGAAACAGTAAGTGGCATTGGAAGACCAGGCCAGGGAAATTCCTCACAGCTCTTCACTTTTGGACAGGAGCAAAAACAAATTTAACAAGAACGTTTCCACCATGAATACACAGATGCTTTTCCTACTGTGTATGGAGAGTGGATTCCAAGATTACCAGCGAACAGAGAAATTCAATGCAGATCTCTGACAATGTCCACAGCTTATTTGAAGAACATGAAACTTAACAGTTATTAGCTAAGTTACTAGGTAAAGTCAATTGACTTTCCTGCTTTGGTTTATCTGGACATTGTCACTGTTGATGTTTGTTGGATCATGCTATGTGCAAATTCACTGCAGTATTTTCCACATTCTAACAGTACTTCATTATTTCTCTTTATGCATTCATGGGATGAGGGAATTGCTGGCAAGGCAGCATTTATTGTCCATCCCTAATTGCCCAGGGGGCAGTTAAGAGTCAACCACAAGGATCTGTTCTGGGTCCTCTTCTATTTGTGATTTTTGTAAATGATTTGGATGAAGGAGTGGAAGGGTGGATTAGCAAGTTCGCGGACAATACGAAGGTGGGTCACGTTGTGAACAGTGCGGAGGGCTGTTCTAGGTTACAAAGGGACATTGATAGAATGCAGAGCTGGGCTGAGAAGTGGCAGATGGAGTTTAACCCTGAAAAGTGTGAGGTGATTCATTCTGGAAGGACAAACTTGAAAGCAGAATACATGGTTAACGGAAAGATTCTTGGCAGTGTGGAGGAGCAGAGGGATCTTGGGGTTCATGTTCACAGTTCCCTGAAAGCCGTCACCCAGGTGAATAGAGTTGTTAAGAAGGCGTATGGTGTGTTAGCTTTCATTAATAGAGGGATTGACTTCAAGAGCCACGAAGTTATGCTTCAGCTATACAAAAGCCTGGTTCGGCCACACCTGGAGTATTGTGTCCAGTTGTGGTCACCTCATTACAGGAAAGATGTGAAAGCGTTGGAAAAGGTACAGAGGAGATTTACCAGGATGTTGCCTGGAATGGAGGGAAGGTCTTACGAGGAAAGGTTGAGAGAGCTAGGGCTTTTCTCGTTAGAACGACAAAGGATGAGAGGTGACTTGATAGAGGAGTACAAAATGATCAGAGGTATAGATACAGTAGACAGCCAGAGACTTTTTCCTAGGGCGGAGGTAGCTTTTACGAGGGGACATAGTTTTAAAGTGAAAAGAGGTAGATATCGGGGAGACGTCAGAGGTAGGTTCTTTACTCAGAGTGGTAGGGGCGTGGAAAGCATTGCCAGGGAGGGTAGTGGAGTCGGCCTCATTAGGGGCATTTAAGCGGCTATTAGATAGGCATATGGATGATAGTATAAGGTAGCAGTGGAGGTTAGATAGACCTTAGGTTTCCGGTAAAAGTTCGGCACAACATCGTGGGCCGAAGGGCCTGTACTGTGCTGTACTGTTCTATGTTCAACCTCAACCTCATTGTTGTGGCTCTGGAGTCACATGTAGGCCAGACGAGCTAAGGATGACAGTTTCCTTCCCTAAACAGCATTATCTTTAGTGCTTTACAGCCAATAGGTGGTTGAGAAAGATGCTAGATAAATAAAGTTCTCGCTTTGTAACACAGATTACAATCATAACAAAACTGGTTTAAGAGTTAGTCTGATACATTCCTTATCTATTACTTTTCAACCTACCATCAATGAGCTTCAATTTTCCAATCAGCAAATTACACCTCACATCAAATTATAGACAAGATTCTTCTAGGAACAGGATGGGTGTTAGCGGTTGCTGAACAAAAACAATCCACAGACCTGTTTACTTGTGATGAGCATTAATAACACAACTGAAATGGGGTTTGGGGCGTCGACAGACACTGGGTGAGAGGATAGCACGTTTCACAGTGCAGCCATGACCTGAAGGCATATATACAGATCAATGGACAAAACTTTCTTACTGTAGTGTTAAACACATTTGCAAACAACTTAATTATTTCATTGGGGTTCACATGAAAGAAAACATCAAGATTGTGTTAAGAATATTTATGGATATCAATCAAAGGTGCAGAAAGTGGAGTCTGGATGCAGATCAGCCACACCCAAAGTGAAGTGAAAAAGGTGCCAAGAATAAATGGTCTCTTTTAAGCAAGTGACAAGATTTACGCTTGACGCTACCAATGCTGCCTTTTCAGCAACGATATAAAGTTGTTCTCACTTTCTGTTCATCTACAGTGAGTTTCACGAGTGGGCCCATAAATGGCAATATTTTATGGCACTCAGACCACCACCCCTCTCCCTTTCCACAGGGACCATTCATTCTACGATTTCCTCGTCAGTTTCACACTCGCCACCAATTTCTCCACCACGCCCGGTACCTTTCCCTGCAACTGCATGAGGCGCAACACATGCCCCCACACCTCCCCCCTCACCTCCATCCGAGGCCCCAAACAATCCTTCCAGATCTGGCAGAGATTCACCTCATCCAACCCGATCTATTGTATCCGTTGCTCCCGATGTGGTCTCCTCTATATCGGGGAGACCAAATGCAGACTCAGGAACTGGTTTACAGAGCACCTGCGCTCTGCACACATCAACCAACCCAACCTTCAGGTTGCTGTCCATTTTAACTCCTCCTCCCACTCCCCTGGTGACATGTCCATCCTTGGCCTACTACACTGTCGGAGTGATGCCAAATGTAAACTGGTGGAACAACACCTGATATTTCGCCTTGGAGCATATAGTCCAATGGCCTCAACACTGACTTCACCAGCTTCAAAATCCCTCCACCCCCAGCCTTATCCCACGTCCAGCACCCTCCCCACCCCCTCCTCCTCACCTTCCTAATCTGACCTAACCCATCCATCTTTCTACTCACCTATCCCCTCCACCCTTCGCACAGACCAATCACAATAACACGCTACCTGCATCCAACTATCATCATCTCTCCGAGTCTTCCCCCAGCATCCCCCACTATTTATTTCTGGGCTCCCCTCCCCCTCACACATCCTGATAAAGGATTTCGGCCCGAAACATGGATTTTCCTACTCCCTGAATGCTGTCTGACCTGCTGTGGTTTTCTAACCTCACATCTACAAACTCATACATAATTGTGGTGACTCAAACTGCAAATTATCTCTGGCTGGTTGTGGTACTTCAACTGCATATTGAGCAAATTCTGCTGTGTATGTACATATTCTCTATAGTTATTTATAACATGAGACACACATGCATCACAAGGCAAGGATACAGAAAACAAAAAAAAACTGCTTTATAAGCAGTTATTCCTGGAGAAAAACATGCCAGGAATGGAGGACATTGTTGCTGTGAGGTTCATGGGCATCATAGATCAACTATTTGTTGAGGGAAAAGAAATCTGGCTGCTTAACATAGGCCTTCAGGATGTCTGACATGCACACTTTTGCTTGCTAACTCCAGCATAGAACTGCTCAGTTACAGTCAACTCCAAGGTCTGCCACAGCACACACAGTGTCCTTTCCCTAACCTGTGGCTCATATTCTTACTATTCCTTCTCTAACTGAATAATACCTGCTGCAAGTGGCAAGGGAGGCAGTGCAGCAGTTTACACTAGATGAGTGGTATTGAAATATACTCCATTCACCATGCAGTTGTATATTAGCTATTTAATTTTCCAAAAACTACAAAGTTGCAGTTGAGAAGCATATATCTAATCTAAACACTAACTTTGTGGAATAAAATCTACAGTTCCATAAAAGTACATTTCTACAGGCCAGATAATGAATTAATGTTTTCACTGTCTGAATTGTGAAGATTTTACATTCTACATGCCAAATTATATTCAAATATATTGCATACAACTCACCTTGTGGAATTTCTTTATCAGGGTATAGGTTCTTGTACACATCCATAGCAAAGTCAACCATATTAGTGTCACTAAGAAGATCCAGTTTCCCTTGGAGGAGTTCCTTTTCATTGTAAATCTGTAAATAGAATGGGTCAAATATTTGTAAAGAATTATTCAAACTTCACATGGTATGCTGGTCAGACAACAGCTTGAGCACTGCATCCAGTTCTGGTCAGACCACAGACGAGTGTCATGCTCAGTTCTGGTAAGATCATAGCTTGTATCTGTGCATGGTTCTGATCAGAGCACATCCCAAGCAGTGGGTTCAGATCAGATCAGTCCACAGATCAAGAAGTGTTTTCAGTTCTGACCAATTAATTGATGACGTACCGTATCCAGTTCTTACCACTGGTCAGCCGCTGCATCCAGCCATCACTATTACCAATTTATCAATCCAGAATCTACACATGACAGTATCAAAATGTATCACTAACTTCCCCGAAAGGCCACACAATGAACAGTGCATGAAGGAGCACAAATTCAGTTATCAGAGTTGGATTCAGGTAGGCAACAGTTGGTACAATAAAATTGACTGATGTGCCTACAGGTTAAGAATGACAGAAAAAAAGGAGCAAGGCATCTGTCGTTACAAACAGTAAAACAAAAGTCCCTGTTCCTTGCCATGGGACAAGTGATTTGTTTGGGGTGGGATGGGAGATAAAACAGGGTCACTGAGATCATTACCAGTCAGACAGCACACAAGCACTCAATGCATGTGGGAAAACGCTGATGTATTAGATAGGCCTGTTCTTGACTCAGTTTTCTTTGCTCGAAGGAAATCAATGGTAGCTTCTTCCGTTTCCCTACATACAGTACTTAACTCTCCATTAATGCCATCATCTGAGTAAATCTTCTCTGTGACCTCTCCAAGGGTCTTGACACCTTTGTCAACATGCAGTACTCCGAATTCTACACAATAATTTGACCAAGGTCAAGTCAGTGATTTAAGTGGTTTTGTTGTTATTGCTTTTTTTAGTTTTGCATTCACTGTTCCTATTTTAAAAGCCAAATAAACCACTTAAGGTATTCTTATACCTCATCAACTTGCCCCATCACTTTTGAGGATTTATGAATTTTTTTTCTGTACCTGTGACCTATTTTATAGTTACTGCTATGGAACATTGAGAACAGGAGTAGATCCTTCTATTCCTCAATCCTACCTCCAACATTTTGTTACCTGTCTCTGATCTGGAACTCAAATTCATATAGCCACATTTACTCCATATGCATTTGCAGGTAGCATTCACACAACTCTATTGTTCTCCATCATGAAAATGTCAACCAATCCACAGCATCCACTGACTTTTGGGGATACTTTTCAAATTAAAAATAAAGTCAAAAATCACACGACCCCAGGTTATCGTTGAACAGGTTTATTTGAAAATGTAACTTTCGGAGCTCAGTTTCTCCTTCAGGCGTAGTGCAAGAGAGAAGGTATAAGGCGTAGAATTTATAAGCAGAAAAGTACAACCCTAAAACTGGCCGCGCCTTGTTGACTCTTCAATCAGTTAGGAAGGAGACTACCGATTGAAATTAAAAATAAATATTGAAAATACTACAACCAAAGATCCCAGCATACTTCAAAACTGCATTAAATGTGACATATTATGTAATTATATACCGGACAAAGTGAAGCCAATTTTCAGTCTACAGTCACTCTTCTTGTCAAAAATCTGAAATTAGACCAGTCTGCTTGCAATCTCAGGGACAACTTTGACCTGCATTCAAGTTTCCAGCCTCATGTTTAAACCATCACTACGACCTCCTATTTCTACTTCTGTAACATAGCTCCCTCAGCTCACATGCTGCTAAATCATGCTCATGCTTCATCCATGTCTTCTTTTCATCTCGACTTGACTACTCCAAAACACCCACAGTCGCTTTCCACTTTCTAACATCCATATAACTTAAAGTCATCCAAAACTCTGATGCCCATGGTCTAATCTGAATTCGGTCCATCATTCCAGTACTTGCTCGCCTTCTGCTTCTGAATCAAGCAACAACTCAACACTAAAATTCTTATCCTTGTTTATAAGATGTCTCCACAGGATCTTACCTCTCCTGATCTCTACAATTTTCTTCAACTCCACAACCCTCCAAGATCTCTTCCCTTCTCTAATTCGGGCCTCTTATATCCCCATTCATCATTATTCCACCATTGATGGTGAAACCTTGTGATTTCCTGGGTGATGATCTCCACACTCCTACTTATATCAGAGATCAGGACAACCTAAAGCAGGCATCTCAAAGTACAGGAGACATACTACCTGTGGTGCCTTTGCAAAACCCTACAAAGCCAGTAGTAAGAAAACTGGTCCAACAGCAGGATTCATTCCTGAGCCAGCATCAAGGCACTAATCAGTCAAAACCAGCTCTCCGCTGGGCAGGTCATATCACTCACCAGACTCACAAAGCCATTTCACTCAAAACACAATTTTAGAACACTCCAAGGAGAACAGGGAAATGTTTTAAAGATGTTCTCAAAGCATCCTTGAAGAAATCAAAAATGCCCACTAAGTCAAGGGAGTGCCTAGCTTGTGATGGATCAAAAACGAGAAGTTTCACTCAAAAGATATCGTCAGAAACTTGGAAAGGCAAAGTTGAGGCATCAGAGTCAATGCACACAAATCTCCAAACTTCACCTGCTCAGCGTGTGGCAGATCGTGCATTGCGTTTATCAGCCATGTCAGAACACATCAAACTGGAGTGGAAGCAAGTCGCTTGCTGATCTCGAGAAACTGCGAAAGCCAGGCGACGGTTATACCTTCAGGTAAGGTCTGAAATTCCCTCTCCAGTCTTCTGCCTCTCTATAACTTATTCGCCTCCGTTACCGCATTCACTTGAACAAATTTTTGGTTATCTGACCAGGGGCATCTCGTGACGAGGAAACGCAGAAAAGCAAGAAAGGTGATCGGTAAAACCAGATGCTCCGGTGTGGGAATCAGGACTCCGCACCCTGAACATAGCACAGTGCCGGGGGCGGGTTCCCCACTCCAGGGCTAGGCCCGGCCTTGGGCCTGTTTCACGTGCAGGGCCCTGAGAAGCCTGGAGCTCCGCTCTGGTACCGTTTCCGGACTCCCGGAGCAATATGTGCGCGGGGCGAGGCGATCCGAGACTTTACCTCTTTAACTGACAGGAACTCAAGCAGCGGGAAGACCAGGTGCCGGTCCAGGAAATTAGCGATTCGCATCGTTAGATCATAATCCGCCATCTTGGGAAAAGGAAAATTCAAAAGGAAACAACTTTATTGACAGCGACTTGTGCCAGGTACGGCCCCGCCCATCGCCCGCCCGGCCCCGCCCATCGAGCGCCAGGCCCCGCCCATCGCCCGCCCGGCCCCGCCCATCGAGCGCCAGGTCTCGCCCATCGAGCGCCCGGCCCCGCCCATTAGTAAAACCCCGCCCTTCCCCTGTCAATCTAATACTGCTCGAGAAAAAAATCTTTTACCCCCTCCTCCTGGACACCACCCCAAGGCCTCCTACCCTCCCCCGACCTCTTCATCTCC